GACGCTTCCTCTATCCATGGAGAGGTGTCCCAAACAGGTAAGCATGGTCCCTCCCTCCCTCCCACCTTCTCCTTCTCTTCTGGTGTATATTAGTGTAGATAGCTTATATGCAAACATATTTAACCAAAAAAAAAAAAAATAGGGAACATATAATTATGGAGATGCTCTTTTAAAATGTTATATATCCTTGACCGTATACACCAGTTGAAGTACTTCAAGAACAATAATTGTTTTGATCTTGTTTTCAAAGAGCATCATAATTAAATACTATTCTTGCTTTTTGAAGAAAATTGTATGATTCATAAGAGCTAAGTACACCTCCCTAAAAAACCAAATGGATATAAAAGGAAGCATATATTAGCTGTTGTAAGTATAATTCTGTTCACTTAAACATTGATGGAAATCATTAAATCGCATGGAATTCCTTTATCATTAATGAGCTTTATTTCTAAAGTGACTTGATGCTACTGAAATTTGTTTGTTTTTTTTTTTTTTTTTTTTTTTTTTAAGAAAAACATCAGCATGCCTGTTTTAGATTTAAATTTTCCTATGCTTCCCGAAGTCAAAAATCCTTGAAATTTTAACATAACTTTGTTTTAGGTGTCTACTTTGAATCTGAAAATTTTTATACTTTTCGGTTAAACGAATTATTTTCGGTGAATTTTACGGTACAGGTCGTTTCAACTTTATTTCTTTGAGTTACCTTTGTAGTTTGGTGTAATGTAATTCTTGAGTTTAAATCTTCATTGACATAATCTTAAGCTAATATTTGTTTTACACCCTTAATGAACCTTTTATTCTATTTATTTCTCTTAATCTCACAGCTAGAGTTTTGGGGTGTGACAATTTTGCTCTTAGCAACTAGAGGCATAAAGTACAAATTTACTGCATTATTAGTTGCAAATAATCAAACTTCCACTTAAAAGATGGATATTCAAAATCCCACCATTTCCCTTCAAGTATAGAATGTGAACTTATCTTGTGTAATTAAAATGTGAACCATAATATAATTAAGGAATCTTATCCTCTCTAATAATTGAGCAGCAACGTTAAAAATATTTGATGCAAATTGAACTGATCTTTTAATTTATGCAGAAAATAACATGCATGCTAGCTAGTTATTTTGAATTGTGATTTTGACCTATATTAATGGTTGTTAAGTAGCACTGAGAAGTCATATCAAAAAGTTGTAAATTTTGTTTTAACGTCCCCAATTGGTATAAACTGTTTGAATTGTTGGGTGGATGTGTTGTTTATGTTATATTGTGTGCAAGTTTTAGGAAATGTTATAGTTTTAGGGGAGGTTCTGTCGAATTTTCGATAGAAAATAGCAATCATCTAATGTTTACTTTGTTTATTTGGTAGGTAAAAAAAAAAAAAAAAAAAAAACCAGGCGCCCTTGCAAACTACAAAAGACTTCTCAGACCACTCGCACCACGATCTAGAAGATCACAATTACATGGGATCCTCGACATTGTGTGGCTGCAACAAAGGAGCCGCACAATGCGTTGGCCACCAACGTTGGTTGTGTTATCAGGAGCCATTGCCCCTCAGGTGGGAGTCATGGAAAGTTGTGCCACAGAAACCAAGGACGCCGTGCATTATGAATTATCGGTAAGTATTTTCAACCTCAATTACTACATTTTTATTAAAGTATACAAAGATTATAAATTTTAACTACTATTTATTTGTTGAGTTTTGCAGCATCACTATAAGCTCTCCAACCTCGATTCCAACCAAATGGAGCACATCAACAACCTTTGCTCCAGTAGGTTCACTTAATGGAAGAGCGACCTCCACAAGCATTATGAGCTATATGACAATCTGAAGGTCACTCTAGAAGTTGGGTGCCCTATGGTGTTGCTGGACCGTCAGGATGAATGGGAGTGGCTCTACGGCCATTTTCAACATGAGAAATACTTGGTACGTATAATTCATATTTCAATAATATATTAATAAAAATTTACAATTTAAAAGAGACATTTCAATTTTTTCATTCATTTGTTATAAATATCTAAACTAATATGTTTTTTTAATTCAACACAAAAAAGTGAAGGCAAACTCAATCAATCGGCTGAAGAAGAAACTTCTTCACCGATCCGGGTCACGACGTTTCTCTTATAGGTTGGAGGAGCGACGTAAGATAACTGTATATTTATTTTAAGTTTTCAATCTTTTTACTCTTTATTGCACAATTGGTCATCTATGTTAATACTTTTTAAAATTTTTCAGGGGCTCTCAAAGTTTCCTGAAATTGACATGTTGAAGGAGGTGTACGTTCGGCCTGGGGATGAGTTGATGGACCAACTTCATGTAAGTTCTTTCACATTTATAATATTCAATTTGTATTAATATTAATTACATTTATATTCAAATTAAATTTTTTTTTTTCATTTTTATAGTCCACCATGATGGATAACGGCCAAACAGTTCTGGAGGACGTGGCTTCCCAGCTTCCCCTAAAAACCCCGATCGAGGAGGTGTTTCCCCCTGAGGATGCTGGGTTTCAGATCATGACCGACAGACTTGATCACACACTCGGTCGTTGGCATGGGAATGTTCACCAAGGGCTTAGGAAAGCCCGCCTTCGGGACTCGTCTGCCTCATTCTCCAGGCAGAGGATTGAACAGGTCGATACGTTGACATCTGAAGTGGTGGGCTTGAATGAGCAAATTGCGGCTCAAAACAATTTCATGAACCAAATACGTCGTGCACTTCTAATCTCTAACATTCAATTCCCCAACGTTGAACTAGCTCCAGAAATGACCTCCCAACCTCCCGCCACAACGGCTATATCCTCCCAGCCCCATAACACAACAACACCACCAGCTGGCGATTGTGATGTCGACTTCTTTTTTTAGTTTTGTTTTAAATTGTTTTAGAATTTAAAAATACTTTTGTTCCATTGTATATACATTTACAATAATTTTTCAATTCAATATTCTTCTTTACATTTTCTATATTTATTTTCATTAAATTCACTTTTACATAAATGAAAAAAAAATATTTATAAAACTAATTTACAAATAAATAATAGATTACTTAAAAAACTAATTTTAAAATTTGACTGCGACGACCTCTAGATCTGTTACGCAAAGGTTTATGGGTCGAACAACAACCTCTGTCACACAAAACTTTGAGGGTCGAACCTGTGCCACCGTCACGTAAGAATTTGGGGGTCGAAACCCAGTTTCGTCGCTCAACATGCGCAACGACCACGACTTCCGTCGCACAATCTTAATTTCGCGCGACGAAGACATTTTCTCCTTCGCACAATGCCTGACGTCACGAGCTTTGCACAACAGAGTCTTCATCGCCAAATGTTTCCGATGACGGTTTTTCCCTTTGCGCAACAGTTTCCCCTTCGTCGCCCAAGATGTTATTCCTAGTAGTGAAACTTATCCTCTCACATGAAAAAAAAAAAAAAAAAAAAAGTATTTCAACGTAGAAATTTTAAAACTTGAAGCATTCAACTTAATAATGTTCATTTGAAGATCATACTCACAAAATATTATTCTAATAAGAAATTATTTTTTACCCAAATGTATCAAATGAATGAACGGTACACTATGAATATGTTACTTAGTACATACACCGTTGATTTATTTCATAAATTTGGATGCCTAAACGAACTCTAAGTCGAATGACTTTTTGTAAGAATGATCTTAAAATAAAGTCTAAAAAGTTAAAGGTTCTAATTATGAAATTTTTGCAAGAAAAATATGTTACTTGTAAATACAGTAATGGACTAATTTACGAATGATGATGGTACAAATGAGCAGTGGTGAAGCCATGTGAGGGTGAGGAGTGGTGGCTGCCACTCCCCTCGTCGGAAAAAGAGATTGGAGCGGTGGTTCAGCCCCTCCCCTCACCAGAAAACCGACTGATTTTGCTGCTACTGCTCTCCTTGGAATCGAGGAAACACGGGGGAATTCCGCCGAAGGTTGGAGTGGAGGAGAAGCAGAAGGATGGGTGGTGGGTGGCGTCTTCCTTCGTCTTCGTCCAAGGAAAGAGAGGGCAGTTGTTTTTGTATGCCCTTTGAGCAGAAGGTTTTGACTGGAAAGGTAGTCGACTAGGAAGGAAGAAGTGAGGATGAAGGGGAGTGCGATCCCACGTGTCAAAAGGAATGTGGTAGACTTGTAATAACATAGAATGAGCGAGGGTAAAACAGGAAGAACACTGTGCTCAAACACCCAGGCCAATTTAATACGAATTTTGAATCCCTAAATTTATAATCTCTAACCTTAATTAATTATTTAATACGAATTTTGTTTAATTGGTATAGAATCATATGGTAATGCATTAATATGGTTATTGGTTATTGATTATTGATTATTAATATAATTCTATGATTATTGATATGAAATTATGAAATTATTTTTTAGGGTGAAAATTAAAATTTGAATTCTTGATTATTGATTGATTAATTGAATTATTACATAATGTATACAATTATTCATATGATTAGTTGAATTGAATATTTATTTATTGAATAATTTGTATGCTTATTGGTATTGATTAATTGAATTGTTGGTTGAATTATTTATTATGCATATTAGTATAGTGTACTCTAAGATTAAGAGTCTAAGAATTTTTTTTCTTTTCATTTTACAGTTACGTAATGGAACGATACTATAAGAAACAATGCTTAAATCATCCTTCAAACATTTCGGGTAGTCCTTCTCCTTCAAATATTTCGAGTAGTCCTCCTCCTCCTTCAAATATTCCAACAAGTCCTCATTCGAATATTCTGAGTAGTTCACAACAAAGCGAGGCCACTGAGTTGGATGAAATATTAGCTAACCTTCCCGCAAACCCTGGACATAGATGTTGAATGTTTGATTATCCACCTAATTATCGTGAAGCAATTCGTAGATATTATCTCCAAAATGATCCTTGCCTACCTTGCACTCTTTTAAGTTCGTCCCTCATCCCGATAAATCCTGGCTTCACCATTGCAAATGAGGGTTCTAATTATGAAGAAGCGCATAGCATGTTACTCATTCTGTTCCCCCAAGACCAAGGGAGTCTATCACATCCTCTTTGGTCCAACCCCCACGCAACAAAACCACAGACAGCACCTTCACGTGCCACCCCACTCCCGCCTCGTCATTGCCATCTCCCATCGCGTAGGGCCCACTTCTCATCTTTCCACCATAGCCATCCGTCATCATCATCTCCCTAACCTCTTCCTCTTCCCACCCGCCCTCCCTCAGCCTCCAAAACACCTCCTGCAAACATTCCGCCAACTTATAACTACTCCACCACCCGCGCCTATCCTCACGCGCCGCCACATCGCTCCAAAATTCGATCCTCCGGGCCACCTTGGGGGCCCACACAGGCACGTGCATGAACCCAAACTCTTGGCGAAAAAACCGAGTAATGTCACAGCTCAAAACCCTAACCCTCTCCGCGTCAATGTACAAAACAGGATTCCCCGCCACGGTCGGCCTGGAAGGCACATAACAGTTCCGGTATATAGGAACGAGAACCGGTGCTCTCTTCAACAGCTGGTTTGCCACGTCCACATCACTATGACGATGGTGTGGTGAGGGCTTCGGACCCCACGACTTGCACCAGAGGGTTCCGTTGGAGACTTGTCTGATAAGGCTGCGGGATGGGAGGCTGAGGATGATCCGGAGTTGTTGGTGGGAGGAGGAGCGCCAGTTGGGGAAGGCGGGGTCCACGGGGAGGCCTTCCTTGAGGATGGCACGGAGGTCAGTGGGGAAGGTGAAGTCGAAGGCGGCTTCGAGGGAGGCGAGCTCTTCGTCGGTCAGGCCTTGTTCGATTGGGATTGTGTGGGGTGAGGAGTGGAGGTGGTTTACGACGGACTTGGCGTAGGCTGCGACAGAGAAGCAGACTAGCGGCTGTTTTGCGTGGGCAGTCGTCGATTTGGAGGTGGGTTTTGGTGGGAGCTTCGTGTGTTGGTTCTTTGTTGTTGATGGTGCCATTTGGTGAAGATGATGAAGATGTAAAATGGGGTTATATTTATTTAATTATTTAGTTTTGATTGGATGGTTTGGTGGAGGAAGAGGGTGAGAAGAGAGAGAGAGAGACGCATTTTTTTGTGATGATCTGCAACTGTTTGGGCGAAAGAGTCGTCGAAGGAAGCGAGTACTTCTGGATACGTTTTAACGTCAATTTCTAGATTTAGATGGCAGAAGAAGCCTATATCAAAATACATGTAGGTTGTATTTTGCTTAATCGGGAAAACTGGGGCAGTGATTGCATGCGTTTGTCTGTACATATATATATATATATATGTATGTATGTATGTATGTATGTATGTATGTATGTATGTATTGTATATACATACGTATGTATGTATTGTATGTATGTATATGTATATATGTATCTGTATGCGTTGCATTTCATGCCTCTTCTGTCTCGTAAGCTATAGAAATTACAAACAATCCAAGGATATATTTTAATGACATGGCTTGAAGGGACGCAGTTTGGATTAATTTGGCAATGGGGATATCTATTAGCCAAAGAAAAATATACCATAAGAGCAGTTAATACATTGTATTTTGAAATGAATTTGAGATAACGAGATCCAACGTAATTAACATTTTGCGTTTGAAATGACTAAACATCTTGTAAATTTAAGAAAATTAATTTGTGTACATAGGGTTGGCCTTCCGCCCAAATTGGTTGTTACCCACCCTAGCTAGCACAGGATTATCAGTATTTTCTGTGATAATAAATAATACGCTTTCATCGGTTCGCATATATGATTAAAAAAAATTTCTTGGGTTTAGTTAAATTAGCTAAGGTCATGTTCTCCACTTCTCCACCTAAGTTTGTATCACCATTAATGTAATTATCCTATGTGCTTCTCAATGTTTTTGCTTTTAATTCTTATGCATACATAAATGTTAGCACATCGTTAGTAATATAATCAAGCTTGTGTAATGCTAATTACACAGAAAAAATGGACATCATACAATTATTAGTTTAAAAGCATGTAGTAGTGTGCACAGTAAGCTTGTAAGTGCACAGTAAGTTTATAGCTCAAATAATTAAGAAACATTACAATTATTAGTTTAAAAGCATTTAGTAATGTACGTGGTAAGTAATTTATAACTCAAGTGATTAATAGACTTTACATTTATGTGATACCATGTTCTTTTTTTTAATATCCTTGTATTATAAGAAAGATATACATTGCAAATCCAAAATCGACGTGATTAATCTAATTTTAATTAGTCAATTTACAAATCACGTCCAATCACGAAAGCTAGATCGCAAATGGTCTCATGAAGGAATTCAACTCAGTAAAAACAAACTCATTTCCAAATAATTGCATGCATATTCGTTAGCACCTTCTAGTCTGTTGACCATGTGCGTCTGTCGTGTATGGATGTATTGAATCCCCCTTCTGTACTCGTCGAAACACGATACACACAAAATGGCATACACGAGTTTGTTTGGCACACTATTTCATGAAATTGGGGGAATAGTAATCAATCTAATTTTCATTCAACCTCCTCTCTTTACTTTTTTGAATTTCTTCCTGTTTCTTTGTCTTCTCTATTGGCCCCAGTGCTAAATCCGAGCATGATTCCATCTTTTCCTTTGCTTGAACGTTAGGGTTTTGAATTTCATAGGCAAGGGGTGCGATCCTATCTGTGTGCCTGTCTTTTCTGATTTTTCTCCTTACTTTTTTATGTGTGTCGTGTGATTTGCATTGAAACTCTACTTGGATGTTTGCTGGTGCTTCCTCGAGTATGCTTAGTTTAGGTGCATTGTTTAGTTTGGCATAATTGCTTGGTTGTATGTAGCTTGCCTTAGGTGTGGACATTTGTATAGTCTTTCACTTGATTAGAATTTACTATCTTTTGCAATTTGTTGGCATGGCACAACTAGAGAAAGGTGGGACAACCAAAAAATTTATCGAAATAAGTGAAAACTTTCGAATTGAAAATATTGCAATAAGTTCGAAATTTTTTAATTCTATATGCATTCCAATTTTTTAGAAATATTCAAATTCATAAATTTCAAGTTCAGATTTAGAAACTTTAATGTCGAAATTAGAAACACCATTCCAACATGCACCCCTAAATATACAAAGAATGATATCCTTTATACAAATTCTTAAACAGATGTTAAGAAAAAAAGGTGGGCAACCAAATCCAAAAGGGTAGCATTTTCCATAAACTAGAAGTATACATCACTATCCTAAAACTTGTATCCTCCCTAACTCTCTCTCTTCCAAAATCCTAGATCTAAAAAATCACAATTGTCGCCCCTTTGCTCCGACTCAGAGTCAGCGGCAGCCCTCTGCCCCTTCATTCCAGCTGTTTTTCCTATCGTCTATTATGTCCCCTCCCACACATCGCACCACCACTCTCCCTCCGCTTCCCCAAACCCGTGCCATGCCACCTGTCCCCCGTCTCACCTTTCTCCCCTCCATTTTCCTTACCTTGTGTGACCATGATTTTCCAGAACCGGAGTAAGGCGAATCAGAATATGAATACCTCAAAAGTGCGATTATAGACTCAACACCTGTGGTCGAATTCAACTGCACAAATAGACTAGCAATGCCACCATCATCTTGTGTTTTAGAAAGATAGACGATGGTCGTCGACTTCGCTGAGATTGACCATTATTGTTCCGCAAGACATGAAAATATAATTCGGTAGGGGTTAGATAGTTTCCATATTCTTGGAGATTCCTACAATCTAAGGATTGGCCTACACTGCAAGTAATCATACTCCTAAAAGAAAGCAATATCTATCTCTAGATATATTTTAAGGATTCTCTCGGTTTAATATGGATTATATATCCTAAAAAGTCTCAATTCCAACTAGCTAGTATAAATACACTCATCTAGGGTTCATCTCTGGTAACGTAAATATCGCACACTTTAATGTCTTACCCACTGTTTAAGTCTCATATATTGCTTACTAACTTGATCGTTGGTCGATATCCCACTAGTTCCAAGTTGTCGTTCGATCGTTTGTTGTTTTACAAGTAGTCGTGTTTGTACATCTCCTTCACACATGTCGGTGTGCGAATTTAGTTCCAATACCTCGCACCTCCCTTCACCATCCCATCTCCCACCATTTTGCATATAGCCCTTCGTTTGACGAAGTTCTTCCTTATCCCAGCCTATGCTCTTTGTGGGCTAGATTTGTGGGTTTGGGCACGATTTATGGTTGTTGTGGGTTGGATCCACTTGCTATGACTAGTTCTCCAAGGGGGATTTGCGCTCTTCAGCATTACCTGGTCAGATCTGAGGCGGCTCCTCTGGTGAATGTTATGGATATCTCTAGGAGCAGTGTAGTCAGCGTTGTGAAATCAAATTGACTAACGGTTCCCTTCTCAAATTTGCTAGTTATGGTTAATGTTTTGTGTTGTGTCACTTCAGCAAGTGTGTGATTTCTCTGTTTTAGTGGTAGTGTGATGTGACCTTATTATTTTAACGGTGGCTCTATGTGTGCATTCGATGCTTGATTTATCACTTCGATTGTCCTTTTACTAAATTATATCATTTGCACCTAATTCTAGTATGTGGCAACCATATAGGGATTGTATCTCATTTGTTAATTGTGTAAATCTCTTCGGATCAAAAAATGGATCACTGAAGAACACACACACACACACTTGTATGACACATCTTGTAAGTTCGAGTTGTGTTATCAAAATCTCTCTACAAAAAAAATAAAAAAATTAAAAAAATAAAAAAAATAAAAAAAAAAGCTGTACATCACTATTGGAAAGCAAAAGAAAAATATGAAGATACGAAGTTGGTTGGAAGTAGGAAAATGTACCTTTCAAGATGAACAAATGGAGGACTCAAACCTTGTAAACTTCACTTAGAAAAATTCCATATGTTCGTATCGTGGAGCCTACATAAGCTTCTTTGAGTGCTATTTAATTTTCCCCACAACTGAAAAGAAAATAAAAAAGGAACATGCATGCATACAAAAAGTAGGTTTATCCCCAACATTTACTCACCTCATTACAATGATTAACACGTATTAGTCTAAACTGGCATGTTTGATAACGAGATGAGAAACAATTTGTTAGTTGTAAGCATGCTTCACAGATTTCTACATTTCTTATCTTTTTTCCTTGTCTTAAAGAAACTGCAACCATTAACTACAACCACAAACTCTAGCTCTTAATCATTTTCTTCACAAAACGATATTACTATTTGAAGCTATACTAAGAGAAGGGAGGAAGAGAATTTAAACCCGAAACGAGTGAGTGGCGAGTGGCAATCAAATACTAGATGTTTACTTCATAAATATATAAACTTTTTCTCTTCTTCTAGTTCTTACATTATAACTGCTGAAAATGAGCAATATTTTAAACCAAGGTGGCCATTTTTGAACCACTAATCTTTACACACAATGCTACGAAATCCCATTGACTGATGGTAACTGAGTTATTCAACAACGAATCAAAGGCTTATCATTTTGGACGGTCGAGATGGTTTCTGATCTCTAAGCAATTCGACCACCCTTCTCATGGAGGGCCTGTTAATTGGGAATGCAGCAGTGCAAAGAAGAGCCACCTTCAAAACCTTCTGAATCTCTTCGTAGTTGCATGTCGACGGATCAATCCTTGGATCGATTATCCGGCAGAGATTGGAGCCGCAGAAACCTTTGTCATTGCTGCCTTCTCCTACTTCAGGAGAAGACATTGCAGCCTCTCTAACCCACTTCACAATGTCTGTGTTCTCACCAAAGGACGAGTCATTCGGACTCTTGCCAGTAATCAGTTCCAGCAGCACCACACCGAAGCTGTAGACGTCGCTCTTCTCAGTTACTTGAAGCGTGTATGCGTACTCTGCAAACCAAATGTAACACAATTAGGTTTAGCATATATGTTCATATAATGTTCCTTTAAACCAAAGCAATCAAATTACAATTAGTCCCAACAATAAGTTGAAATATGCTATAATACATATGTTATCACGAACTAAAATACATCAACAGTTAACAGTTGTTCACATCAACTTTTGACAATTGTCGATAAAACTTCTTTTGAAAGCAGATAGCAAGAATAGATGCAAAGTTAAAATTGTCGTGGCAGATAGTAAGACACCTAGAGAATTTATTAAGACACCCAAAAAGCAAAATTAAGCAACCAACCAAAAAAATTTAAAAAAACCTCACCTGGAGCAATGTAGCCGTAGGACCCAGCAATCCGTGACATCGCACCACCTCCGGCCGCCATGTCACGCTGCAAAGTCTTGGCCAGTCCAAAATCCGCCACAAGCGGGGTCCAGTCCTCGTCCAATAGTATGTTGTTACTCTTCACGTCCCGGTGGACGATTTCCGGAGCGCAGTCGTGGTGTAGATAGGCCAACCCATGGGCTGACCCGACGGCAATGTCGTACCTTTTGGCCCAATCCGCCAAAGGCCCAACCTTCTCACCATGCAAACAGTCACCCAAACTCCCATTTTCCATGTATTCATATCCCAAAATCCTACTGTCCTCCTCACCACTACAACAAAACACCAATTTTACAATATTGCCATGTCGGATCCGACCCAAAGTCCCCACCTCAGACAGGAAAGCGGATTCAGTTTCGGGTTTCCTTGCCCCGCCCCATAGCTTCTTAACCGCCACGGTCTGCCCCGTCTTCAGCTTAACCTTATAAACATGACCCGAACCGCCCGTCGCGATTAGATTCTCCTTCGTTAAAGACTGCATCACCTCCTCTTCATTAAGCCCGACCCGTTGGAAAGTAGTGACCCTGCAGAGCCGCTTCGTTTTACCGCCAAAAGCTTTGGACCGGAATTTCAAATACGAAAGAACCGACCCGAGTAGAAGTACAACGCACACGCATAAAATGGCTATCAAAATTGGGGTCGGAGATCTGGGTTTGGAGCAGGTAGGGAAGTGATCCAGATCCGGACTGCACAAATTCGGGTTACCCAGTAGCCCCAGGTTGAAGGGACTGTAATCGAAACCAGTAGGTATTTTTCCGTACAGTTTATTATTCGAGACGTTGAACTGATTGAGCCTTAGCTTGGTCAACTCCGAAGGAATCTCACCGGTGAGTAAATTCTCCGAGAGATCCAAGTAATTCAATACCGGCAAGTAACCGAGTTGGGGTGGGATCCGACCCGTTATGCGATTGTGAGATAGGTTCAGCTCCGCCAACTGGGTCCACGAACTCACTGCACTCGGAATTTCACCGGAGAACATGTTCTCCTCCATTTTCAGCCTCTGCAAAATCTTCAGCTCCGTTATGCACGGCGGCAAGTCGCCGGAGAATATGTTTCTGCTCACGTCGAGGCTCGATAGGTTCGTAAGCTTACAAATCGCCGACGGAAGCTCGCCAGAAAATGAATTGCTGGAGATCTTAAGTGTCGAGAATTTAGTAGCCGCCGATATCGACGGCGAAACGCTGCCGTTGAATCTGTTGTTGTTCATCGTGACGAAATAGAGACCAGGCAGACCCCAAAACTTGTCCGAAACGACGCCGTCGAGCTCATTGAATTCGATTCGAACGTATCCGAGAGAATGACACTCGTTTAACGTATCGGGTAAATTTCCGGAGAAATGGTTCGCCATTGCGATGAAATTCCAGAGCTTTTTCTGGTAACAGAGGAACTTCGGCAGCTCGCCGGAAAACTTGTTCGTCGAGACATCGACTTCTGCCAAATCGGAATATCGGCCGAGATTTTCCGGGAGGGAGCCGGAGAAGCTGTTGTTGAAGATCTTGAACTGCTGCAGTTTCGGATTGGAGGCCAAGATCGGAGGAAGCTCCCCGGAGAGGAGATTGTCGTTGAGATTCAGAGACTCCAATTGCAGTCCTGCAATTGTTTCTGGGAATTTTCCGGTGAAGGCGTTCAGAGAGAGATCTAAGTTCCGGAGAGAGGTCAGGTTTCCAATGCTCTCAGGCAATTCGCCGACCAGGTGATTTTCGTACAGCTCGATCTGCGTCACGCTCCTCAATCCACCGATGCTTGCCGGAATCGGACCGGATAGGAAATTCGTAGACAAATCGAGGTTCATCAGCGAGACGAGGTTTCCGATGGAGTCTGGTAAGCGGCCTCTGATGTTGCATTGCGGGGCGAAGAGGGTCTGTAGCTTCGTCAAGTTTCCAATTTCGGAAGGCAACTCGCCGGGCTTCAATGGATTGATAGCGAGTTCCAAGCGAGTCAACTGGGTAAGATTGCCCAAGAACTTGGGGATTGTACCGGTGAGCAAGTTCCCGGAGAGCATCAGGACTTGCAGGGAGGGAAACCGGCCAAAACTCGCCGGGATATCGCCGGTGAAGTTGTTGTTTATGAGGTTCAGGATTCGCAAGTCGGTGAACTCCGGCTGAAACTCGGGCAATGTTCCGACTAAGAGGTTATCGTGGAGCTCGAGAACATGGAGGTGGGAGCAGAGAGAGAGGGTGTTGGTTTGGAGAGAGCCGTTGATGAAGTTGGCGGACAGAGAGAGGTTCTGGAGTGTCCGAATGCTACAAAACCCGAACGGGAACGCGCCCGAAACACCGAACTCGGATAAGTTTACAGCAAGCACAGAGTGGTTGTCCCGGTCGCAGGTGATTCCCGTCCAATTGCATGGACTGTGGTTGCTGCCCGGAACCCAGTCGTCGAGCTTTCCGTCCGGGTCGGACAGTTGTGCCTTGACCCGAATCAAGTTCTGAGTATCCCCGGGCAAAGATGCTGCGACTGTTAAAACGCATGACAGCGCAGAAAACAATACTAAAAGGGGCATTAGGGGTGCTAATTGTGTCATCTGAAGAAAAATGGAGACACAAATCAAAGTTCGAAGAGTGAGGAAATGAAGTTCATGTTATAAACATAAGCAGCGGTTTGAGGGGTTGAGAGGGAGATTTAAAAGGGAGGGAGGGGAGGCTTTAGAAGGGTTTGAATTTTCAAAGGGGCTTCACATGGAAGGGGCTTTATTGCTTCATCTTTTTGGATATTGTGAGAGAAAGAAGGGTTTGGTATTTGGTAGGTTAATCGAAACTGAACGCCACAAATTTTTCAATGTATTCGAGGCGGTTTAATTAATTTTGGAAGGATATTACTGCTAAGTGGAGCAAATGAAACGTGATTCGATATGGGTTTATTAGGAGAAAGTGACATATTTAGTAGTGAGTTGGAACTTGGCAAAGGTATTTTAAAGTAGAAGACAAAAATTGATGGGCGGTTATACTTTCAAAAAAGAAGAAAAAATAATAAAATGAAATGGGAAAAGTAAAGAAAAAAATTTGAAAGTAGGGAACTAGCGCCGTTGTATTTGGTGTCTAGAAGACGGAGAGATTTGGTTGCTAGTATGGCTTCTCTCTCTTTTTATTTTTTTTAGTATAATGATATATTCTACATTAGGGAAAGGGAAGAGTTTGGCTAAGTCATACAATGAGCAACCTAATTTGGTTTCGAGTTCGCCATCTACGAGATTCAAGCTTAAGATCTTTCGCTTACAAATGAAGAAAAATATCACTAGACCGTAATACTGAATAGCGCTAGTATGGTCTTATTTCCATGTGATTCCTTGATTTTTTTGGGAGGGACATTGGATTTGGAACAGAGGAGGATAGGAATGAGAATCAATTGGGAAAAGTTATTTCCATTTTTTCCTTGGGTGGGGAACAATGTCATGTTTGTCATGGTTAGGAATTTATGCTTTACCTAGCTAATTAAGCATCAAACAGTCAAACACTAGTGTGATATTTGTGAAGGATAGCGCCAGTTTGAGGAGCAAGCACGGCAAAATGTTTGGTTCACGTCAATTTTAGAATCGGCAGTACTCGGTTTCTACAGTTTTGATTTTCTCCTTTTTTTAGGAGCGGTATTACTGTAATCACATCGACTAGAAATGACACCTTAACGTACGGAGGAATTGGTACTGTACATGAATTTACTTGAGGAAAGTGAATTTGACACACAATTTTTAATCTTTTACAACCCCTTGATTAATTTGAGTCGTTGATTCTTTTTAACTTATTTAATTTAATGTCTATAAATAAAGAATGGTGTGAAAAACTAAAAAGATATATGAAACTCATTTCCCTTTCGTATCTAATCAGAATAAATATATTAAGTAAATGCATATATTGTAGTCAACTTTGTAAACTCTTCCATAGGTTGTTAAGAACATTGAAGAAAAAGAATAAAAGTTCGTTTGAATATGCTTTTAAAATGATTGAAAACGATTTTGGTGAAAATGTTTTTAGAACCAATTCTTAATAAAAATTTAAGTAAATTTTAGAAAAGTACTTAAAGTGCTTTCTGGAAGAAGCACATAACTGGTGTTTCTTGTCAAAAACACTTAAAGTACTTTTGGAACCTAAAATATTTTTTATCTAAAACCGCTTTCAATTATTTTAAAAGTACATTCAAATGATGCCTAAACCTTTTGTATACTTGTGATGGAGGACAGACAAACAATGGAGGAACTTGTTAGAAGAATAGCCCTTGGTTGGAGGACAGTTGTGAATTTATTTGACTGAACTCCTAAAACAAGTTTCCTCCCAAAAAAAAAAAAAAAAAAAAAAAAAAAAAAAAAAAAAAAACCTCCTGAAACAAGTGGTGTGTGAGTGTAATTAGAATATTGCTATTAAGAAAAACACGACAACAAGTAGTTACAACAATCAAAGAATGAAAACTGGCGTGAGACTATGAATAGTAAAAGATAATTTAATGTGTTTTAGTACTTTAGTTTCAATCTTTGATACCAAATCTTAAGTATGAGTGACAAAAAATTTTAATCATCAAGTGACAAAGTAAACGAGACTCCTATAATAGTTTATTAAAACATACAATTAAATTGACAAATCAGTGATCACATATGATATATGTATTCTAATAAGAGTTTGTTTCTAAAATTTTTAACGCGTAACTTGTATATGTTGTCAAATTATCAATAAGAGACGCATATTATTATGATTATGCACTTTAGCATAAGAGCATTTCTAGTAAGTGGTGTACATAGAAATGTATACGCATATGGATCTCACTCTCTTGTAGGCCATTAAAAAAAAAAAATTGATTTAAACATATTTAGTCCAATTACTTATTTATCAACACACATATAGGAGTAAAACTATTAAATTCTCCCATATGAGTGTGATCAAACTATTTATATATGTGTTGACCCTAAAAATTACAAAGCCTACGTGGCGCGCAGGCCGAGTAACTAATAAGCTAACTACGTCCTTCGGTTGAATGCGGGGCGTGCCAACTCGTCGGCCGAGCTCGGCCGAGGAGTAAAATTTGTTGATGTTGCGTTGAGCGCGTTGCTGACTTCTTTATCTTGCGACTGCGGCCAAGGAAGGAACAAATCTCGACCTTTGGATTCTCGAGCCTGAAGACAAGGCTGCTAGTTCTACGAAGTTCAATATCAAATTCGGCTCTCAAGGTGCCGAATGTAGTAACCTGGTAACACCTCACTTCGCCGAGAAGGCTAATGAGATGACCTCTGCCAATAAGGATTTGAAAATCCTTCTCGACCGAGACTTGGATAGATAACCAGTCGGCCTCGACGCAGTGCTGTTTATCCAAACTGAAGGTGCTTCGGGAACGGCTGATTCTACGGCAACAGTGCTGTTTATCCAAACTGAAGATGTTCGCCGGTTGCCTTCACAGTGCTGTTTATCCAAACTGAAGATGTGTCGACGGAAAAAAGAAAATAAAAAAATCTCAAGATGTTTGAGAGGTTTTGCGCAGGGCAGTTGTGTGTTGAATTGGAGGTCCCCAAACTGAAGGTGCAGCTTTGTATTTATAGTGGTTATAAACCTATTGGATGATGTTTTTTTTTTTCCAAAACTGCGTCTCCCGAGTTGTATGCGTAAACGCATCCATGCAATTCCGTAAAGAATTGCAATTTAATCACAATTCTTCTCGTCTCCCGAGTTGTATGCGTAAAGGCATTCATGCAATTCCGTAAAGAATTGCAATTTAATCACAATTCTTCCCTTAACCCATCATCTGGTCGCTTATCTCCTCCAACGCATGCATAATATTCCATGATGAGTCCACGTGCTTGCTTGATGAGATATATTCTATCTCAAATGGAACTCTAGATTGATAAAAATGAGCCATGTGGATGCAGCTCTGTAATGTTGCATGCATGCTTATCTCCATGCAATCTTCATTAATTCAAATAGAAAATCACAAACCAACTCAATTTGATTGTGAATCCATCCAATCATCACGTGCTGCATGCTTCTCAAATAAGATATGATTAATTCAATCCCTTATCCAAGCAAAAAGGCATGACTTTGTAGACTTTCACAACTCCCGCACCATGTTAAACCCATTTAATCCATCCCAATCTCCTTAAACGCAAAAGATCTCTCTCAAGATAATTACCATGATTAAAATCAATAATAATATCAAGAAAAATCTGTTTAGTTTTGGAGTCATCTAATGGTCTTAATGCAATGGGCCGATAGTGTAAAATCGGGTCCAAACAATATGTTATACAATTAAAGGTGATCAGTGACTGACATAGGACCATTACAGCTCCCACATGTCTTTAATCCCATCAAATTATACAACATACTTCATATTATTACAACAGATTGTACAAAACGAATCACACTAAATAATCGAAAACAAATGCAGCGAAATAAAAAATTACAATTTTGATCTTTAAACGAGTTTAAGGATTTTATTAACTGGCTCTAATACCACATGAAAGCATAATGTGGACACAACCGAGCACTAATGAAATCAATAGAGCTATTAAATCACGCTCTGTTAGTTAGAACGCCTAATCAGAAATAAACTCAGATTAACAACAGTTTGTACATGCAGAAGAATTCATCATGAACAAGTTAGTGCTTCGATCTTCTCTTCTTTCAGTTCCTAACGGTTCTTTCTCAATATTGAACCCGTTAACTTGATAAGAGAGGCCAAAGAGACCTTTTATCTTTGTGTTGGTAACCATTCCTCCTATCATGGAGGTAGTTACAACAGTTTCCCAAGAGGTTTTAACCTCCACTTAATACAAAATGAGTCCAAAATGTGTCTCCATAATGTTTAATTGTAATTAAACATTTAGTCCAATACTAATATCTGTTCAATTACTTACATATCAAAACACATATACACTAAATATAGTTTGGTCTCACTCATATTAGGAGTAAAACTCTTACATTAAAAACAAAAACAAAATTTCAGCCAAGATGAACATTTTACATCCCTAAATTTGTCTATAGATTTCCTAAAACAAAAGAAAATCTAAAATGTTATTGCTTGCATCTCCCATTTGACCCACTTCTTTTTAAACTCACAAGGCAATTGCTTTCTTTACAGATTTTGGCCATGATGAGCATTTTTCATTCTCTTAGAACATATTCAATCGAGAGATGCAAATTTGAAATTTAAATATCATATTTACTTCCCATTTACATCTCATTTACATTTCAAGGAATGTATAAGTTTCAAGGATACTGAGATTTTCAGGACATGCATGCATCGACTCATGTTGAGCCTCACAGGTGGAGAGATAATTTTTAATGTACTCAAAACACAACTGATGCACCAAATATCATTATATTAGTGGAAGAAGATATTTCCAGTATCTTTCTACTTGTACCGGATGGTCTCTCCAACGGCTGAATCCTGAACAACTAGGAACCTGATTCCTGAATTTAACTTCTCTATTCTCAAAACCTAACGAACCCGGATACCTATAAAGCATGCGCATTATGTATGGAGCTATTAATTAACAAAATTATGTGGTTCCAACCATTTACATTTCGGGGAGCATATATAGATTTTTTGGTCAAGGGCAGCATATATATATATGAGTTTTTATTTGGATGTGCATACATATTTGTTGAATAAATTAGACACGTTGCTGCATTGGAAGTTGCAGACACTAGCAGGCTAGCAGCCATGCAGGTGAAACAGGGTCCATAACGTCGCCGTGAAGGCTCGGTTGTTTGGGTTCGAAGCTGTCAAAACCTTCTGTTCCCCAAAGTCACCCCCACGTTGAATTATCTCCTG